GCCACCTCCTTAACAAGCGCCTACAGTACTCGAACTATTCTCCTCACCCTAACAGGACAACCACGCTTCCCAGCCTTAATAAACATTAACGAAAACAACCCCGCCTTGCTAAACCCAATTAAACGCCTCACAGTAGGCAGTATAATTACAGGATTCCTTATTACCAATAACATCCCCCCTACCTTACTCCCCCAACCAACAATACCTCTCCATCTAAAACTCTCAGCCCTATACGCAACTGCCCTAGGCTTCCTAATAGCCCTAGACCTTACTCTTATAACGAATAAACTAAAAGTAAAAAACCCATCACAAACATTCAAATTCTCCAACATACTAGGATATTATCCCACCACAGTTCACCGTATGATTCCCTATCAAAACCTACTTATAAGTCAAAACCTAGCCCTCCTTCTATTAGACTCAACATGACTAGAGAAATCTATACCTAAAATAATCTCACAAACACATATTACTGCTTCTATAACTATAACCACCCAAAAAGGCATAATCAAGCTCTATTTCCTCTCTTTCCTCATTCCCCTTATCCTGACTATACTTCTAATAATATAACCTATTACCTCGAGTAATTTCAATCACAATATATACACCAACAAACAACGTTCAACCAGCAACCACCACTAACCAACGCCCATAATCATATAAAGCACCAGCACCAATAGAATCACCTCGAATTAACCCTGACCCCTCCCCCTCAAAAATCACCCAATTACCCATATCATTAAAATTAACCACCACCACTACTTCATCTAAATTTAAAACCCATAAAACTAACCCCATCTCCATCATTAACCCTATTAAAAAACCCCCTAGAACCTCAAGCCCTGAACCCCATGTCTCAGGATATTCTTCAATGGCCATTGCTGTAGTATAACTAAAAACAACCATTATACCTCCTAAACTAAAAACATCATTAAACCCATATAAGCCCCCCAATAACTTAAAACAATCACACAACCAATCACACCACTAACAATCAACGCTAAACCCCCATAAATAGGAGAAGGCTTAGAAGAAAAACCTACAAACCCCATAACCAATAGTACACTTAATGTAAATAAAATATATGTCATTGCTTCCATATGGACTCCAACCATAACCAATGATATGAAAAACCATCGTTGTACTTCAACTATAAAAGCTCCAATGATTCCAATACGTAAATCCAACCCAATCATAAAAGTAATCAACCACTCCCTCATTGACCTACCTACCCCATCCAATATTTCCATGTGATGAAACTTTGGCTCACTCCTCGCAACCTGCTTAATTCTACAAATTATCACAGGTCTATTCTTAGCAATACACTACTCACCAGATACCTCCTCTGCATTTTCCTCAATCGCACATATCACTCGAGACGTAAATTATGGCTGAACCACCCGCTACCTCCATGCTAACGGCGCCTCTATACTTTTTATCTGCCTCTTTCTACATGTAGGTCGAGGCCTCTACTACGGCTCATATCTTCTCTTAGAAACCTGAAACATTGGCATTACACTCCTTCTCATAACTATAGCAACAGCTTTCATGGGCTACGTACTCCCATGGGGCCAAATGTCATTCTGGGGGGCAACAGTAATCACAAACCTACTATCAGCAGTACCATATATCGGAACTAACCTTGTTCAGTGAGTCTGAGGTGGGTATGCCATTGATAGCCCCACCCTTACACGATTCTTCACCCTACATTTTATCCTACCTTTCATCATCGTCGCCCTCACAACCGTACACTTACTATTTCTACACGAAACAGGATCAAACAACCCTTGTGGAATATCTTCTGACTCAGACAAAATCACCTTTCACCCCTACTACACAATTAAAGATATCCTAGGCCTAGTCCTCCTTCTCTTTATTCTAATAACATTAGTACTACTCTCACCCGACCTCCTAAGCGACCCAGACAATTACACTCCAGCCAATCCACTAAACACCCCTCCACATATCAAACCAGAATGATATTTTCTATTCGCATACGCAATCCTACGATCTGTCCCCAATAAATTAGGGGGCGTATTAGCACTCTTCCTATCAATTCTCATTCTAGCAGTCATCCCCATACTCCACAAATCCAAACAACAGAGCATAATATTCCGCCCACTCAGCCAATTCCTATTCTGATTCCTAATCACAATCCTACTAACCCTAACCTGAATTGGAAGCCAACCAATAATCCAGCCCCTTATCACCATTGGCCAAATAGCATCCGCAATATACTTCATCACAATTCTAATCCTAATACCATTGACCTCCCTAATCGAAAACAACTTACTCAAATGAGCTTGCCCTTATAGTATAAATTAATATACTGGCCTTGTAAACCAGAAATGGAACATTCTCCCTAGGGCAATCAGAAAGAAAGTACTTAACTCCACCACCAACACCCAAAACTGGCGTTCTAACTTAAACTACTTTCTGTATTTTATGTTGTACAAACTTCACAATGCAATTTTAGCATTAATCCACTTCCAATGCTACTATGTAATTCGTGCATTACTGCTAGCCAACACGCATAATATATAGTACTATATATGTTTAACTGTACATAGCACATGCCATTACATATTTACCAACCATCCTCGAAAGACATGCTTATAAGCAAGGACCCTAATGAGTACTTCACCAATAGTACATAACTGCAACACCCCAAAGTCCAAGTATTTCCCTACGAATATCAACCAAACCAATCCATGGTAGTCGTCCATGAGACATTAAGTCGTTCATCGAACATAGCACATACTAATTAAACAATCCTCCTCACTACGGATGCCCCCCCTCACTTAGGAATCCCTTGTTCACCATCCTCCGTGAAATCAATATCCCGCACGAGCAGTGCTACTCTCCTCGCTCCGGGCCCATAACTCGTGGGGGTAGCTATAACTGAACTGTATCCGGCATCTGGTTCTTACCTCAGGGCCATAACAACCAACATCGCCCACACGTTCCCCTTAAATAAGACATCTCGATGGATCACGGGTCTATCACCCTATTAACCAGTCACGGGAGCTCTCCATGCATTTGGTATCTTTTATCTCTGGTCCGCACGCAACCCCATCGGAGAATGCTGACTCCCACCACATCCCGTCCTGAATGCGCCTGTCTTTGATTCCTAGTACATACAGTTGTTGATCGCACCTACGTTCAATATTCTAGTTCCACGCAAACATCAGCAAGGTACTATTTAATTCATGCTTGTAAGACATACCAATTATCGACTCCACAATAACGCCTCCACCATACTATAAAACCACAATAAAAATCCCATCAAACCCCCCCACCCCCATCTCTGACCTTCATCCAAAACCCGCTTTTGCCAAACCCCAAAAACAAAAGCTTCAATTTACCCGGCCAAAGCTTGTATTTTCATCTTTTAGGTGTGCACAACTTCAACTGCCATTCCCTCAACTAATAAATATTTACTTCATAAAACGCTCTTTACACCAACCTATAACTCCCTCTCACCCCAAAGAAGCCACTCCCCTAATCACACTCACATCTCCGTTTATGTAGCTTAAACCCGCCTAAAGCAAGACACTGAAAATGCCTAGATGGGCTTGCACACCCCATAAACAGATAGGTTTGGTCCTGGCCTTTCTATTGGCCCTTAGCAAGATTACACATGCAAGCATCCCCGCACCGGTGAAGACGCCCTATAAATCACCATGATAAAGAGGAGCAAGTATCAAGCACGCACACGCAGCTCAAAACACTTTGCCTAGCCACACCCCCACGGGAGACAGCAGTGACGAATCTTTAGCAATAAACGAAAGTTTAACTAAGCTATGCTATATTAAGGGTTGGTCAATTTCGTGCCAGCTACCGCGGTCATACGATTAACCCTAGCCAATAGAGACCGGCGTAGAGGGTGTTTAAGATCTGATACAATAAAGCTAAACTCCATCTAAACTGTAAAACCCTAGCTGATGTAAAATAAACTACGAAAGTGGCTTTAAGACTTCTGAACACACAATAGCTAAGGCCCAAACTGGGATTAGACACCCTACTATGCTTAGCCCTAAAACTCAATAGTTAAATAACAAAACTACTCGCCAGAATACTACAAGCAACAGCTTAAAACTCAAAGGACTTGACGGTGCTTTACATCCCCCTAGAGGAGCCTGTTCCGTAATCGATAAACCCCGATCCACCCCACCCTCTCTTGCTCAGCCTATATACTGTCATCTTCAGCAAACCCTAATGAAGGTCACAAAGTGAGCGCAAATGCCCTCCACCGCAAAAACGTTAGGTCAAGGTGTAGCCCATGAGATGGTAAAAAATGGGCTACATTTTTTACCTCAGAAAACCCCACGATAACTCTTATGAAATTCTCAGGTGATCCGCCCGCCTCGGCCTCCCAAAGTGCTGGGATTACAGGCATGAGCCACCACGCCCGGCGAAACATTTTTCATACTCATTGTTACTTTGTTCTAATCTAAATTACTTTTAGACTATTAAATATTATTCTATTTTGAAGTTAAGGGACTAATGCCTATGATAACCTGATAAACTTTCTGATACTCAGAAGTTAAGATTTATTCAGTTGAAGATCATTTTTTTCAGGTGTTGATCATGTGATATTTTTCATATCTGTAATCTGAGGTTCATATGAAATGATAGTGAAATAAAATTATTCATTTAGGTCTTTTTGTCATGTTAATAGGTTATCATGTTAATGGGAAGTTTAGTTAATGTAAAATTAATAAAATGTAATCTAGTGTATTGCTTTTTTGGAAAAGAAGAACACTGAAGATATTGTTTACTTAATACACATGACCTGAGGTAATAAAGAGGAGCTAGCCTTTTTCTCAAAAGGGGGGGGAAAATGGCAGTGAATAATATTATCTAAGACAGTTTTGCCAGCTTTAAATTGCTGGAAGTTCACCCAGGAAGTCCTGATCCCTATGTTCAGTAAAATCATGTAAGATCAAAATATAATTCTAATTTTAGATCTGACAAATTCTGTATCTCTGTTACAATAGGTACGGCAACAATTCCATGATGCCAAATTCATGGCAGACATTGATCTGGATCCAGGTTGTACATTGAATAAGAAGATTCGAAATGCACAGTTAGCACAGTATAACTTCATTTTAGGTAAGAATGGAAACTTAACAAAGAAAATTTGCCAGACATCAGGAAAATCTACTGAAACCTTGAGACAGACTTAAGTGAATTGTAATCAAGAATTTAGTTCCTTCCAGTCCTGATTTTTTTCTATTATATATTTTAATACATAATAACTATAAAAATAGGCTCATGCATACATACTGGGTTTTTTTTGGTTTTTTTCACTTAAATAATCATGGATGTTTGTGAAAAAATATTTTGCTATTATATCAAGGATGAAGACACATTGTTTTAAATACATCTGTTTGATTACTTTCTCAAGATAATTCCTCATGTGGAATTACTTGAAAAAGATATTCATGATGTTTAGGGTTTTATTATTATTTTAAGTTGTCTAGATTGACTCAATAAGCACAGTAGTAGTTTTAGATATTGCAAAGAGTTTCTTTTAAATATTAATACTTGGTCACTTGTACCTTTTAATGTGTCAGAAGCTATGGGGTAGCTTTTGGGTCCTAGGATCATTTCTTTTCAGATGTTCAGTGTGAATCCTTCCATATCTTAGATTAAGTCTGACAAAGCTTTGTGTATTTGTTTTAGTTGTTGGTGAAAAAGAGAAAATCAGTGGCACTGTTAATATCCGCACAAGAGACAATAAGGTCCACGGGGAACGCACCATTTCTGAAACTATGGAGCGGCTACAGCAGCTCAAGGAGTCCCGCAGCAAACAGGCAGAAGAAGAATTTTAATGAAAAAATTGCCCAGATTGGCCCCATGGAAAAGGAGGAGCAGTGTTTCCATAACATTGACTTTATACTCTGAAAATGTCAATTTATGTTGAACTTGAAGGAGTTTGGCAGAGTCCGAGTAGGTCAACCTGCAGGCGTAACTATTTTTGACCTAGTCAGTTTTTAAACAATGTGCATTTGAAGGAGTTAATTAAAAGAGCCAATAAAATGATTTTACTCATTCAGTATCTGAGTACTGGAAATGCTTTAGTATAATGAGGGAGAACTTTTTTGTAAATTTAATGCAATTGAAAAAGTTTTAAATTCAATTAAGATAACTAGAATTGGATTATGGTATAAAAATAAAAAAAAATTATTCATATCAGTTTCAAGACTGCTCTGTCCCTGTCATGTACACATACATGCCTAAGACAAATCATGTGGTTCAGTATTTATCTTCACAGTTTTACAGCAAATATGCTGCAGGGTGGGTGGAGACAGGGTAGGTCTGCAGCACCATAATGCTGTTCATAAACTGGATGTGAGCTGGGTGCTGGCTTCTCAGGATAAACACCTTTGGGAGTGTCATTTTTACTTAATGTTGGACATCTTTTCAAACAAAAACTACCATGGATCTATTATAAAGTAGATTTGACAAATGTTTAAGATAAAACATGGGTCTTCAGAGAAATATCTGTTTATGGCAGACTGTTCTGGACCATAGAATCACTTGTTTTACAAATTCCCTGTTTCCTCATGTGGGATCATTTTCAAAATCTTCTACCAATAAATGGTGATTGAGAGGATAGCACAAAGTAAATAATTTCTTATGTGGATAAATATTCATTCCTCCTTGATATAATGATGTTTTAAAAGCAACATCTTTTTTTAATTTTTTTTGAGACAAGATCCTTTGTCGCGCAGGCTGGAGTGCAGTGCCACGATCTCGGCTCACTGCAACCTCGGCCTCCCAAGTAGCTGGGACTACAGACATGTGCCACCATGCCTGGCTAATGTTTGTATTTTCTATAGAGATGGTTTCATCATGTTGCCCAGGCTGGTATCAAACTCCTAGATAAAAGAGATCCACCTGCCTCCGCCTCCCAAAGTGCTGGGATTACAGGCATGAGCCACCACGCCCAGCCTGAAAAGCAACATCTCGTCAGTGCTATAATCTCAAAGAGCTTGTTTGCAAGGTGTGATGGTTAATACTAGGTGTCAACTTGATTGGATTGAAGGATGCCTTTATTGTTTCTGGGTGTGTTTGTGAGGGTGTTGCCAGAGAGACTGACATTTGAGTCAATGGCCTGGGAGAGGCAGACACACCCTCCATGTGGGTGGGCAAAATCCAGTCAGCTGCCAGTGCAGCTAGAACAAAGCAGGTGGAAGAAGGTGGAATTGGCTTGCTGTCTTCTGGCTTTCATCTTTCTCCTGTCCTGGATGATTCTGCCCTTGGACATCAGACTCCAGGTTCTTTAGCTTTTGGACTCTTGGACTTATACCCATGGTTTGCCAGGGGCCCTCTGGCCTTTGGCCATTGACCAGAGGTTGCACTGTTGGCTTCCCTGCTTTTGAGACTTTGGACTTGGACTGAACCATTACTGGCTTCCTTGCTCCTCAACTTGCAGACGGCCTATCATGGGACTTCACCATGTGCTTATGTGAGTCAATTCTTAATAAATTTCCTTTCATATATACATATATCCTGTTAGTTCTGTGCCTCTGGAGAACCCTGACTAACACACATGGGTCACTTCAAAGAGAAGCTAATTTACATAGATTAATTTTCACTTTAATAAAGGAGCTAAGATCTTTAATCATAGAGGGGTTTTCTTTTGAAACTTTGTAATTAAGCCTTGCTTCCAAATAGCTTCAAAATTAGCTTTTGATAGAGTTGTAATTTTTATGTGTCTGAAGGAAAATTTTTTTTTTTTTTTTTGAGACGGAGTCTCGCTCTGTCGCCCAGGCTGGAGTGCAGTGGCCGGATCTCAGCTCACTGCAAGCTCTGCCTCCCGGGTTTACGCCATTCTCCTGCCTCAGCCTCCCGAGTAGCTGGGACTACAGGCGCCTGCCACCTCGCCCGGCTAGATTTTTGTATTTTTAGTAGAGACGGGGTTTCACCATGTTAGCCAGGATGGTCTCAATCTCCTGACCTTGTGATCCGCCCGTCTCGGCCTCCCAAAGTGCTGGGATTACAGGCTTGAGCCACCGCGCCCGGCCAGGAAATTTAATTTTATACTTAAACCAGACTCAACATTTAGAGAAGCTTTACAAATCGTTCAAAACTTGGGATAAAAAAATATAATAAAGGCATAGTTTAGTGGGACTGGAAATCAAAGGTTTCTTTTGATCTAACTAACACCTAACTTAGCTTAGTCCTCACTTCTAGTGGAATCATTAGAGGGCCACTGTCTTGATGGGAGGGTTCTTGTGTTGTTTTTGTTTTTTTTGAGAAAGGGTCTTGCTCTGTCACCAAAGCTGGAGAGAGCAGTGGCACAATCAGGGCTCACTGCTGCTTTGAACTCCCGGGTTCAAGTGGTCTCCCACACGGCAGCCTCCCATGTACCTGAGACTGCAGGTACATGCCACCACACTTGGCTAACTTTTAATTTTTTTATTTCTTGTAGAGATGAGGTTCTTACTATGTTGCCCAGGCTGGTCTCAAACTCGTTGGCTCAAGCAGTCTTCCTGCCTCAGCCCCCCAAAGTGCTGTGATTACAGGTGTGAGCCACGACACCCAGGGACCACTCTCTAAGAGCGATTATAATTGTGGGTTTACCCCATCAAAGCTCTTATCTGTAATTTTATTTTCTTTCCTTTCCTGGAGAGCAGAGACTGGTCTACTTACAGTTCTTCATTCATCTGTTCTGGCATATAACTTGAAGATTTGAAAGAACCCAATTGTTAAAGCTTTCTTGAGCATCTAATCTATTGTGAGTTATATGGTCTTGGTAATTAAATAAACAGGAACAATTTGAGAAAAATAATACGTGCAACTGCCATGTGACAAAATCTGTAAAGACAGATTTTGTGAAGTAAAGAGGTCAAACTGAAACCAGATTGTCACAAAAGTGATGATCAGGGCAGGAAATTTGGGAAACAAGATTAAGGCTTGCCAGAAATACAGAGCAGTGATGTTAAGAAGGTATAAGGGAAAAGGGTGAAGTTACCTGGAATGATGGGCTGAGTTCAGAATCTTGTGTACTTAGGAATCTTGTTTCAGTTCCTCACCTTTACTACAGCAATAGACACCTGCACCTCATCTCAGGTCCCCTGCTCTGTGACTAGTAGACAAATGCTTCTCAAATGACAACGGCTATATGAATCACCAGGAGATGGCGTTAAAATGCAGGCTGATTCTGTAGGTCTGGGCTGGATTGGAGACACTGCATTAACAAGCTCCCAGCTGATGTTGAGAAACATACTTTGAATAGAAGGCTCTCATCCCCACTCTGTCCTTATTCTGTTCTGCCTTTAAAAAAAAAAAGGAGATCAAATAGGGAAAAAAGGCTTATAAGGAAACCAACTTTTTGTCCTTTTGACCTCCATCTCTCTTCCTCTTACTGAGGCAACCACTTTCAGACACGCTGGTGTATATCTCTTTTCCTATCTCTAAATACTATTGCAATCTCATGATTTTTAATAGAGATGCCCAGGCCACAACGTGGTGGCTCATAGCTCACTGCAACCTCGAACTCCTAGCTCAAGCAGCCCTCCTGCCTCAGCCTCCCAAATAGCTGGGACTACAGGTATATACCACTATGCCTGGCTAATTTTTTTGACTTTTTATTTATAGAGATGGGATCTCACTGTATTGTCCAGGCCAGTGTTGAACTCCTGGCCGCAAATGATCTTCCCACTTCAGCTCCCAACATAGTTGGGATTACAGGAGTGAGCCACCACGCCTGATTGTTGCTGTCTCTTTTCATTACTCTTTTTTTTTTTTTGACACGGAGTCTCCTCTGTCACCCAGGCTGGAGTGCAGTGGTGTGGTCTCGGCTCACCGCAAGCTCCGCCTTCTGGGTTCACGCCATTCTCTTGCCTCAGCCTCCCGAGCCTACAGGTGCCTGCCACCAGGCCCGGCTAATTTTTTGTATTTTTAGTAGAGACAGGGTTTCACTATGGTTTCGATCTCCTGACCTCGTGATCCGCCTACCTCGGCCTCCCAAAGTGCTGGGATTACAGGCGTGAGCCACTGCGCCCGGCCTTCATTACTCTTAGAACCCCTCTCTTGACTTCCTGTTTCAGAAAATGAGGAATTTATTTCACAATCCATTTCTTCCCTCCATCCTTTTAATGTCATATGTCAACTTTTTGTGAAATCCATATTAGGTGTCTTTGTTATTATGACCATAAATATTATGCTCTAATAAGCCACATAGTATTCTATGATTACATTTTTTTTAGTACTTTTCTGTATGTGTTATTGTAGTTAATAATTATTCTTTTCTTTTAAAATGTTTTCTTTAGGCCAGGCATGGTGGCTCGTGTCTATAATGCCAGCACTTTGGGAGACCAAAGTGGGTGGATCACTTGAGGTCAGGAGTTCAACACCAGCCTGGCCAACTTGGTGAATCCTTGTCTCTACCCAAAATATAAAAATTAGCCAGGCCATGGTGGCGCATGTCTGTAACCCCAGCTACTTGGGAGGCTGAGGCAGGAGAATCGCTTGGACCTAGGAGGCAGAAGTTGCAGTGAGCCGAGATTATGCCACTTCACTCCAGCCTGGGTGACAGAGTGAGACCTTGTCTCAAAAATAAAAAATAGGCCGGGCGTGGTGGCTCAAGCCTGTAATCCCAGCACTTCAGGAGGCTGAGACAGGTGGATCATGAGGTCAGGAGATCGAGACCACCCTGGCTAACACGGTGAAACCCCGTCTCTACTAATAAATACAAAAAACTAGCCGGGCGACGTGGCGGGCGCCTGTGGTCCCAGCTACTCAGGAGGCTGAGGCAGGAGAATGGCATAAACCCAGAAGGCGGAGCTTACAGTGAGCTGAGATCCGGCCACTGCACTCCAGCCTGGGTGACAGAGCCAGACTCCTTCTCAAAAAAGAAAAAAAACAATATTTTGGGGTAGGGTTCTTGGGAAGAACCAAACTATGCACAACTTCTAATCACCTTCAAAACCATGAAAATGAAAACCACAGGTTAATGGACAAGAACAGGGTGATAGAGTTTGGAGTATTGATGATGTGGTAGATGCACTGAACCTACCTGGACTGCCTAATTCTGCATTTTTATATGACAGAAAAAACCCAATTAGATTGAATTACTGTGGTCAGATTTCTGGTCCAAAGATGGACAGCTGCTTCTGTCTTTGTTTCAAGATTAATTTTGAGCAAACAGGATTGAAATTCCTCTGCCACAGCTGGGCCCAGTGGCTCCCAGCTATAGTCCCAGCTTCTCAGACCACTGAGGTGGGGGGATTGCTTGAGCTCAGGAGTTCCAGGGTATAGTGAGCTATGATTGCACCTCTGAACTCCAGCCTGGGTGACAGAGATCCTGTCTCTTAAAAAAATTGGAAATTAAAATTTTAAAAAGTTGTATTAGTTCGTTCTCATGCTGCTACGAATAAATATATGAGACTGAGTAATTTATAAAGCAAAGAGTTTTAATTGACTCACAGTTCTGTAGGGCTGGGGAGGCCTCAAGACACTTAAGAATCATAGTGGAAGGGGAAGCAAACACGTCCTTCTTCACACGGCAGCAGGAAGGAGGAAAAAAATGAGCAAAAGATGGAAAAGACCTTTATAAAACCATTAGATCTTGTGAAAACTCACTATCATGAGAACAGCATAAAGGTAACCACCCCCATGATTCAGTTACCTTCCACCGGGTTCCTCCCATGATGTGGGGATTATAGGAGCTACAATTCAAGATGAAATTTGGGTGGAGACACAGCCAAACCATATCAAAGGTCCTCTGCCATGTCTAGTCTTTTAATTCCTTTGTTCCCCAACCTTCCACCCCTGGTTGTCTCCTGCTCTGTCTCCCCTTTTGTTTCTCTTCCTCACTAAACCTTAATTTCCATGGCCAATCACTTATAAACCTCTTTCCAATAATTCCAATTTCCATGCATCCATGTCCTGCTTGATTCACTGAAAAAAAATGCTGAGTGTTTCTACAAATTTACAGTTAAGAGACTGAGCGCTGTTAAAGAAAACAGTCTAGAATTGTAAGAACCGGAGCTACTTCCAATTAATTATCTCCAACCTCAGTTGCACCATAATTTATCTCTATACGTAGTTTCCTTATCTAGTCCCTCAAGTCCCTCAAGTCCCTCAGTAACTGTCACTACTTTCTTCAAATACCTACATCTCCTCAAGATTGAATTTCCCTAAGAGCCTATAGAAAGCACATAACTTTATATTTTCAAATATCACTTCACTTTCATCTACTCCCCTACTAAACAGCAGACTGTTTGCTCTCCTCCTACGTCATTAAATCTAGAAACTTATATTAGTATTTCCCTTCTTCCCTCCAGTAAATGAGATCTTCTCCCTCCTTTTAAGTCCAACCATTCTACTGGACCTCTTGGTCTTCTGGTGTAGAAGCAAGGTGATGGGCTTTGGAGCCAGCTGAGTTGCTATTCTGTCTCTTCTCGGTTGGATAACCCATTATTTAATTTCTCTGAGCCTCTTTACTTACCCATAAAATGTACATAAAACCTTGATATCGTTATTGCTCTGTGTC